GGCAGGTTTTGCACTTTAGTAAAAGGGGTACTCAGTGAAGAAACAGGCAAACTTCGGGGTCTGCAGCTCCCCAGAGGAAGCTAGATGTTCCAGGGTAGTTGCCAAGTGACATTTGTCTCCATCTGTTCCTCAGCAAAGGGACCAGCTCATACCAGACCCCCTTAGGAGGTGAAACAGTCCAGTCCTGAGAACTGGCTTTCAATGGTCCAGACTCTACACTCTCCACAGGATGCAGTTCCTCTGTAAAGGATGCGGCTATAGACCCAAACCCACCAGCAGCTTCCTTCTCAGGGTGGCACTTCTCCCCATCCCCCCACCCCTCATAGAAGTGGCTCTGGTAACTACACCAGAGTCAGCAATATCTCTCTCCATGGGGATGCCAATGCTAGTGGCTGCTCTGGGGGCCAAGGAAGCCCCCATAAATTGGGTGATGATTACACCAGGCACCATTGATGCCTCTAGAGTGGGTTGAGAGTGGAGTTAATCACTGTGTCCTCATCAATAGGGACAGCTTTGAGGATACCTATAGGGGGCTCTCCTGGCTGGACAAGGAGGCCAACAGGAATTTAGGGTGTCTCTCGACTAGAGAGGTTGGAGTGACTCTCTGCAAGCCAGCAAAATGCTAGAATATCTTCCTCTGTTGAAAAAGGGATAGAAGCTGCCTTCCTCAATTTCCACTTCTGGAGAAGGGGTTCCATGTGGGCTCTTGTGATATTAGTATTTCAGTGGCTGCTGGATGGGCATGACATGTGGCATCTGGGTTACTACAGTGCCTGAGAAGCAGAGACAATCCTTTTCAGGTGATGAAGTAATGGAGCTAGCAGAGAATGGCATATCTGTGGACATATCCTATATCTTTTATCTCCCTACTTAAAAAAAATCAATCAAGATTAATTAACATACCATAGAAGTTTTCTTTTAAAGTGTTCAATTCAGTGGTTTTTAGTATATTACAAGCTTGTCTAACCATAAGCATTATCTAATTTCAGGAGAGTTTTATTACACAATTAAGGAACCCCATACTTCATAGTGTGGCCTAATGTAGTAGGTGTCCTATAAGGTCCAGTGGCACAGCCTCCCCTTTCACCCATGCTGGGTACTTCAGGTGCACACTTTGTATGGGCTGAATGCACCTTCCTCTTGTAGTTGTGCCTTGGTTGCTGTTGGCAGGTCAATGGAAGGGATTTACCCAGGGCAGTCAGCTGCAAGGACTGGCTGTGCCCACTGACCACCAATCTCCACCCTCTGTGGAGTACCAGCTGTGCAGGGGCAGGGTGGTAGTACTCTGATGTTTATAGCTGTCCACTGGGTGGGCTGGCCCTGGGGTTTCCCAGGTGGTGCAGGCCAAGGTCAGCCCCCACCTATGTTTTACCTGGGGCCACCCTGCCTGAGCAATAAAGAAATCTGAGATGGCTGCTATTTGTGTTGGGCTTGGAGACTCCCAGGTGAAGCCAAGCTGTGACTCTAGGCTGGCGGCTGCTAGAGCTGGTTCTGGGGCCCACTGAGGCAAGCTGTTGTTTGTTTGATAGGATTTAGGAAGTTGTGCATCCTGAGCCAAGATTAGCCATTCATATGGAAAAGCAGCTTGGGTAGGCTGGTAAATTGGGTGGGGTGGCATCTATGGAGATCTCCAAGGCCAGTAAAACAGTGTTAGCCAGATCAATGGAGTCTCAGATAAGGCATCAGCTTGCTGGCTCTGCAGGGAGAGGGTTTAGAAAAGGGTCAATGGTTTCTGTTAGCCTTGATGCCCAGATACTTCTGTTTCTCCTGTGTACCACCAGTGCCTTTCAAGCTGCTACCCCTGTGCTAGAGCTCAGAGGAAGTAAGTCCGAGTAGGTGACTCTGTGTGTGGGTTCTTTAAGAGGAACTGCTTGGGGCTCCAGAAGTTCTCCCACTGACAAAACTCCTGATGGCTTTTGCAGCTAGAAATAGTAGGGATTTGTCTTCCTGGCACTGGTATACTGGATGGGGGCCTGGTGTAGGGCTAGGACTCCTAACTCCAAAGATATCCCTCCCAAATTTTTATACACCACACAGGAGTGAAGGACCAGCCCACTCTGTATCTGCACCCCTCCTACCAGTCTAGATGGGTATAGTTTGTTTAATTCCATAGTTGTCAGACTTTCATTCAAGCAGCTATACCTGATACATAGAAACTAACACAAGGAACCTGCCAAAACAAGGAGACAACGAAACATGGCCCAAATGAAAGAACAGATCAAAATGCCAGAAAAAGTATTAAAAGAAATGAAGATAAGTAATCTATCAGATGCAGAATTCAAAATACTGATTATAAGGATGCTCAAGGAACTTAGTACCTCAATAGCATAAAAGAAAATCTGCTCAGAAACAAAAGATACACTAATTGAAATAAAGAACAATTTACAGGGATACAACAGTTGAATGGATGAAGCTGAGAATCAAATCAAAGATTTGGAACATAAGGAAGCAAAAAGCAACCAATCAGAACAACAATAAGAAAAAAGAATCCAAAAAAATGAGAAGAGTATAAGCAGCCTCTGGCACAACTTCAACAGGTCCAGACTTGCATCATTGGGGGGCCAGAAGAAGAAGAGAAAGAGCGAGAAATTGGAAATCTATTTGAAAAAATAATGAAAAAACTTCCTTAACTTGGTGAAGGAAATAGACCTGCAAGTCCAGGAAGCACAGAGTCCCAGACAAGATGGATGCAAAGAGGCCCAATCCAGACACATCATAATTTAAAAGCCAAAGGTAAAAGATAAAGAGAAAATCTTAAAAGCAGCAAGAGAAGTTAGTTACCTACAGGGGAGTTCCCATAAGACTACAAGCTGATTTTTCAAAAGAAACTTTACAGGCTAGAAGAGATTGGCAAGAAATATTGGAAGTCATGAAAACCAGGTACCTACATCCAAGATTGCTCTACCCAGCAAAGCTATCATTTAGCATCAAAGGGCAGATGAAGAGATTCTCAGACAAGAAAAACTAAAGGAGTTCATCATCATCAAACCATTATTATATGAAATGTTAAAGGGACTTATTTCAGAAAAAGAAGATCAAAACTATGAACAATAAAATGGTAAAAAAATACAAATCTATCAACAATTGACTCTAAAAAAAAACTAAGCAAACAAGAATAGAGATAGAATCATGGATACAGAGAGTGTTTTGATGGCTGTAAGATGGGAGGGGGTGTGGGGGAATGTGTGAAGAAGTGAAGGGATTTTGAAGTACAAATAGGTTGTTACAGATTAGCCAAGTAGCCAAAGCATTTATAGGCATGACCTGTGGACATGAACAATGGTGGGGGGAATTGCCTGAGGGAGTGGTGGCTGCTAGGTGGAGACAGGGAAAAGGGAAAAATCAGGACAACTATAATGGCATAAAAAGTAAAATATAATTTTTTTAAAAATCTGTTTTGTCTGAAAGAAAAAGAGAAAGAAACCCCATATTTCAATAATAGTAATTTCCCACTCCTCTTCTGCATCTTTATATCTTGGTATTTTACAGCTGCTGGGATATTATGTCTATTACACACACATGTATATATATATAAATATACATATATATTTATGTATATACATAAATATATTTACATAATATGTGCATATATGTATACATATATATTTATGTATATACATATATACATACACACATGTATAATTATTCACGTGTGTGTATGTATATGTATGTGTGTGTGTAATAGGGAGAAGAGAGAGAGATTTATATTAAGGAATTGGCTTATGTAATTGAAGGTGCTGACAAGTTCAAAATCTAAATGGCAGGCTCCAAACTGGAAATTCTAGCAAGAGCTGCCTTTGAGTCCAAAGGTGGTCTAGAGACAGAATTCTGTCCTCTTCAGGTGTCTTTAGTCTTTGCTTTAGGCCTTCAACTCTTTAGATGAAGCCCACCCATAGGAGGGGGGACAAAAAAACCTGGAATTTATTTATAAAATATTGTGTATTTATTCTATATGTTTGAACTTCAGTCACCTCACCTTCAAAATACTCTCAATTTGATGCAATATACCTATTGAGACATTTTTCCACTGCTCAAAATAGTTTTTGAACTTGTTGATATTAATGTCTTTTAGCGCTTCTGCCATTTTTTGCTCACGTCTTCCACAATGGCAAAATGTTTCCTTCTGAGGACTGTTTTTCATCCAGGGAAACAAAAAATGTCACTCAGGGTGAGATGGGGTGAATACAAAGGATGGGACATGGGGATCATGCCATTTTTTTGGTCAAAAACTGCTGAACACTCTGCGTGGTGTGGGCAGGTGTGCTCCTAAATCACCCATCATGAAATGGGCAAATGTAGTGAAAGGGTCTTCAAAAAAAATTCACTGAAGCCTAAGGCATCCTCTCACAAAAATGTTAACTGGTACACTGATACAGATGGGTTCCTAGGACACTCAGCTAGCAGGGGAAGCCTGTCTTACAAGGGGCCTGCCCTGTCTTGCCACCCCACCTCCCGGTATTATGAAGGATAATCTGTTTTACTCAAAGTCTACTGATTTAAATGTTAGCACACCTGAAAAATACCTCATAGGCTTATCTCAAATGGTGTCTGACCAAACACAATTGGGCCCATAGCCTAGTTGACACATAATTAATCATCACAGATATGATAAAAACCAAGGGAGAAGTAAGGGACCCTGTTTAGTTGGTGAAACACTACTACACAGACCACTCCTGTTTTCTCAACCTACCCACAAGTTACAAGGTCATTTGTTTCTTCTTCCTGTTTCTCATTGGCTGCTAGTACTAACATTTGCTAGATTTGGATTTGGACGTGCATGTGCTTTCAGGGTGCTATGCCGAGCATGATTAAAATGAACAAACCCTCCAAAAAATATTGTTACAAGGGCCTCCACATGTCCTCATTCTTCAGTTTCTTCCATTTACCTCGGCTACTCTCAGACCCAATCACAAAGTCCTGCTCACTTAGCCTCTGTTGACTCCTTAGTCACAGCCAAATTTCAAAGCCCAGCAAGGCCACTCTTTTTTTTTTCCCCCTCCAGGGGAGAGTGTGAATGCAGTCCCCACTACCACACATTATGCAGTGGAGTTTCCACATTTGGGGAAACCACAGGAGTCAGCACACCTGGAGTGCGAAGGGTGAGCCTCATCCTGGAAAAACCACCTTCACGATCATGGTATCTCCCCTGCCAGGTAAGTAAGAGGCCACTCTTTTTAATTAGCCCTCTTGACCTTATCCCTTCCCTCTCTTATACTGCTCATGCTCATTTGAATTTCTGCCCAAATGTAGTATTTACCCACAACACAAGCAGGTGTTTTACCAACATCACTTCTATGTTTCCTTTCAGATCTAAAACTCAGTATCTCTCCATTTGACACCAAGTAATTATTGAGAGTTGACTGCTTCCCAGTTAAAAAAAAAAAGCGGGGGTTGGTCGGGAAAACATATCAAATCTTCTGAAGTAAAGACTGATTAAAAGGGAAAATATTCACATGGGTGTAGAATTTCTCTTGTGTTTCTTAAAAATAAACAAATACAACAAATTCAACTATGCCCAAAACCCCTGTCACCGTGTGGTCCAAACCCCTATGCCACAGTGTTGAGCGAAAGGTCTGCATGCACAGGAGGTGTTTTTGTGCTTATTTAATGACCACGTAAAAGAAATCCTTCTTTGAAATGATTTTGGGGGGCCAATCTCTCAATGTAGAACATTATTTTAAAAGTATATTTTATTGATTATGCTACCACAGTTGTCCTGTTTCTCTCCTTTTGCCCTCCTCCACCTGGCACCCCCTTCCCTCCATCATCCCCCTCCTTAGTTCATTTCCATGGGTTGTACAAGTAAGTTCTTTGGCTTTTCCATTTCCTTTACTATTCTTAATCTCCCCCTGTCTATTTTGCACCTACCAATTATGCTTCTTATTCCCTCTACCTTTTCTCCCATTCTCTCTCCTCCTCCTTCCCACTGATAACCCTACATGTGGTCTCCATTTCTATGATTCTATTCCTGTTCTAGTTGTTTACTTAGTTTATCTTTTGTTTTTGTTTTTGTTTTAGATTCAGTTGTTGATAGTTGTGTGTTTGTTGTCATTTTACTGTTCAGAGTTTTGATCTTCTTTTTCTTAAATAAGTCCCTTTAACATTTCATATAGTAAGGGCTTGGTAGAACATTTTTAATGTCAGGGATTTTTTTTCTTCTCCTTTAAAAAAATGAGCTTTAGGCCTTATGAGTAAAATATAGTAGAAACAAATCATTATTGACTGTTGAAAATGAGCTGCACTTTAGCCAGGATTTTAGCCAGGATGTAAGAGAAACAACTCCTAGGGGAGACTTTATTTGATCTGAAAAAGTTGTATTATTATTACGATTGTAAGAAAAATTGGAATGCAATTTAATTGGGGACATAACCAACCAGATGTGAAGGAATAAAATAAGAAACCAATATGAAAGGCTGTATTTATTGAGAAAACACCCTGCAAGCATAAAATATGATCCAATTTTAAATTTAGAAAAAAACTGGAAATGGGAAAATCAGAGAAGACTTTAAATCTATAATGAAGAATTTATAATGTTCTGTCAGTAATACCAGTAAGTTAGAACAGCTTTCTAATTTCAATCTACCTTCAACTAGTTTGCTTTCAGTATTTTATGTGAGCTCTGTATACACAGGCACACATACAGGCTATTAACTGGTTATTTTAAGCTGTATAGCCATGCAAATGAATCAAAGTAAAGCAAAATCTTACTGTCCTTCAAATATTAGAAATATGGCTGACAATATCATCAAATTACTTTTGTTTTCTGCTTAACTTTATAGTACAGGAGGAGATGTGGTTTACTCTGTGAAGCTAGAATGCCTCAATTCCTCTTCCTAGTCATTTTCCTTTATGCAGAAACCCTTTATGAGAAAACACTAGCATTAGACTCTTAGAGGATGACATGCAAAACACAAAGAAACAACAGTTCAGACGCTAGTTTCCTTCTACTTTGGGTTAATGGGCAAATCAAGGTAGAGACTATCTAGCATACATGGACACTTCATGTTTGCTGGGGAAATGTTAGACACCTCCACACACCACACACTGCCTTATATAAAACTCAAAACACTGCAAGGCACACAGACAATATCGTCATTTTTCAGAGCAGGGAACTGCAGCTTAGAAAACACACAACTGATTGAGTCCACACTTTAGTGGAGCATTCAGCTTTAAACCCAAGTCCCTCTGGCCCCATGGTGCTTGTTCTTCTATGGCACAGTAGGGTTCTTATACTTGTCAGTTGAGGAATGAAAACAATGTCTAGCCTATTTTCTTACATTGTTGATTTTGAGAATGAGTATAGTCATGTAAATTTAAATAATAAGTGTTGTTCAAACTACTTTCCCAAATAAAAGTTTTACTTCCATGTCTTTATATTTTTAGACTGAGAAGTATCAACATGAAATGTGAACTTGCCAGTTACCCTAAATGGAACTCTGGGCTTTGCCAGGGAGCAGGTGGACTAGCTGCCAGGCTTAGCCGACACCTCAGGGGTCTCAGCAGTGGTCCCCAAAGCAATAGGGGTGTCTGGAGATGAGATCAGGCTGGCTTTCTCCAGGTGTCCACAAAAAGATTCACATGTAACAGAGCCACACATCCCCTTTTTTATTCTAATACCCTATTATTCCCCCCTTGCCTGGGTTGCAGGCCACGGCCCCCAGTGACCACACATTGATGTGTCTCTCTCTCTCTCTCTGTCTCTCTCTGTCTCTCTCTGTCTCTCTCTCTCTCTGTCTCTCTCTCTCTCTCTCTCCCCCTTCCCTCTCTAAAAATAAATAAATAAAATATTTTTAAAAAGAAAGAGAATAATATCATATTTTGTGCTCACTTCTGCCCCAGGTACCCCAGGCTGCCCAGGTCTCCTAGGTATCCCCTCAAATCCTACATAGTGAACATATTTTGTTTTTGATTCCAACCCTTGGTTTTGTACTCAGAGAAACTAATGTATCCTTCAAAGTTCAGTGTTGGTTTCTAGTACAATGTCTAGCCCAGGTCTCACTTTGTACAGACAGGCACAGAAAAAAGATTGGTTAATTCAACAATAAGGAATAAATAATGATAGAATGAGAAACAAAGAATCTGAAGGGTAGGTGGTTCATGGTAGAGCAAAGAAGACAAAGACATCAGTGTGTTTGTCTGGATCAGCTCCTTCCTGGGAAAGAAGCCACTGAGAGAAAACACTGATGCCTTTTAGAAGTAGCTGATCACGTCCTCTTCTCCGGAAACGTATCTATCAGCCTGGGTGGCTCAAAAAAACATTCTGACCTGTACTCTCCTTTCTCCTTTCTGTTCTGTGCAGTGGTCTTTTACCCCACCTTCAAATGCCGTGCTACTTCTCATTTTAATTAAGCTTGTCCTCAAAGTCAGACTTCTAAAGCAATGCAATTTGCTGCTCTTCTTGTCTACCCAGAGTTTCTTGGCATATCTCTCTCTTCTATATTAGACTAGGCTGATACCACTCCACAGATCACTGAGACTGTACTAACTGTATTTTTTTTAATTGCCTTTTTTCTTTTCTCTTGTATTCAATATGCTGTCAAGTCCATAAGTGAAACTTTAACTTTAGACACTGACATTTTTATTTCTAGAATTTTAATATGGTCTCTTTCTTACCATTTTTATTTCTCTGCTGGTATTTCCCAATCTCTTTAGTTTTTGTTTTCTTTTTCCTTTAAGACTGTAAAGAAGAAAATTCCTTTAAGATTTTAGCATTTTTCTAAGGCCTGTTTTAAAATCTTTGCTAATTGTAACACCTGTCATCTTGTAGTTGGTTTCTGTTGATTGTTTTTTCTCTTTACTATTTCTGGTAATATTATTTTTTGTTTGATAGTAGATATTATGGTTGATAAGTTGGGGAGATTTGTCTATTTTCTATTATCTTTTTCTGAAGCAAATGTATTATTGTTCTCATAACAGTTTATTTATTTTTTTGACTGAAACTTCAAAGTCTGTCTTGTAGTAGTGGGCATCAGATAAGTTCTGTACTTCAAAACTTTTATTTTTATCCTTCCTAATGTTGCTTTTGTGCCAGACCACCTGAAACATATCCTGCCCATACATAGTATAAGAGCCAGGTAAGTTATTGGGTAGAGTTATTATATGCATTTTTTTTTTGGCTGTCTCCTCCATGGTTTCCTTTAATTTCTAGAATTCTTCTTTGCTCTTTAGCCATTCCAGAAATTTACAACTCCATTCTATGGCAACAATTGGTTGTTGATTTTTATTTTTTGGTCTCTTGCCCCTGTCCCAATGAGTTCTGTTTCATTTTTGAACTGCAACATTCTAAGTAAAAATAACTATTTATTGTAAAAATTACAATATTAAATTACAATTCGTGAGGCATTCATGTTTTCACTTCTGCTTGCTCATCAGTATTCAGATGAACAAGATATTATGTAAACCAACTGAGCCCAATAACTGGGAGCAGAAATCCGGCGCGACTCTCCTACGGCTCTCCTTCTGTCTCAGCATCCCTCACACTGTTTGTCATTAGCTCTCTCACAATTTTCTATTGTCACCCACGCTACACTATTTTCCTCCCTTCTTTCCTGCCTCTTTTTTCTATAACTTCTAATTTCCTTTCTTTCTTCACTTAAAAAAAGATATTTCCTGTGTGTTGTGTTGATTAATGATTATACCTTACCTCATTTTACTGGAACTAAATTCATTATTGGTTTCCTTTATTCAAGGTATCTGGCAGATTTTCACAGCAGCTAAACCTTCTTATAAAGTCGCAGTTAAAGGGTTGTAGAGAGTTCTCAGAATTCCCTTTTCAAACATTCTGAATTCATTGTAGAATATTTTTTCTACCTACCGTAATATGCTTCCTGTCTCCTGAGCTAGTCGGTCTGTGAGATGCACCCTGCTCCAACTTCACCAAGAAAAAAAAAAGGTAGAGGCAAAGAAACATATGATCAAGTGTTGAAAGATTTAGGAGTATATTGGGAAGGGAAACCAGACATCCCTTAAAGAATCATTGAGGCCTGGCTGGCATAGCTCAGTGGATTGAGTTCGGGCTTTGAACCAAAGTGTCGCAGGTTCGATTCCCAGTCAGGGCACATGCCTGGGTTGCAGGCTATAACCCCCAGCAACCGCACATTGAGGTTTCTCTCTCTCTTTCTCCCTCCCTTCCCTCTCTAAAAATAAATAAATAAAATCTTA